GAGAGACAGAGATAGCGAGATAGAACACAAATGGGGAGGAGAGGGAGAAGCAGGCTGCCTGCTGAGCAGGGAGCCTGATGCAGAACTCGAGCCCAGGACCCTGGGATCATGACCCAAGCCGAAGGCAGATGCTTAACCAACTATGCCACCCAGGTGCCCAAGAGTTGGACGTTTAACCAACTGTGCCACCCAGGCACCCCTAAACTCCTCAGTGTTAATCTCAAATTGGTAAATATCAATAGCTATAATCCACATAAACAACTCAGGGGGTCCTCAGTTTTTTTGAGACTTTATTTTTTAGAGTGGTTTTAGATGCACAGCAAAGTTGAGCAGAAGGTACAGAGATTTCTCACAGACCCCCTGCCCCAGGCACAGCCTCCCCCACCAGAGAGGTACATCTGTCACAGTTGATGAACCTATGTTGTGTAAGGGAGGAAAAATACCTTCCCCTCTACTCTTCTGAGTTCTTAGCTGAGACCTCTGTGATAAAAGACAGATTAGCAAGAGAAAAACAGGCAGAAGTTTATTAACATCTATAACTCATATATGTGTGGGAGATACCCAGGGAAAAATGAGTAGCTCTCTGAGGTGGCTTGAGATTCAGGCTTGAATATCATCCTAAGAGGGAAAGGGGAGGGGGAAGTAGGCCTCTTAGGGGAGAGCAAATGATTTTGAGGAGAGATAAATGGGCCCTTAGAAGATTAGGTGGGATATGTGATAGTTTATGACCAAGTTTGGATATGACCTAGTTTCTTCTCCTGTAATGAGCCACTCTTTCCTGGTTGATGAGACTCTTGGAGAGGTGGTTTATAATAATTGAGTTCCCTTTGGAGATCTGTCTTTAGGCAGATAAGGTGTTGTTTTAGGACAAATGTATAATGACATGTATCTACTGTTATAGTATCATACCGAGTGTTTTCACTGCCCTAAAAATCCTTTCTGCACCTCTTATTCATCTCTCCCTACCTCCATCCTAACTCCTGACAACGACCGATCTTTTTACTGTCTCCATAATTTTGCCTTTTCCAGAATGTCCTATTGTTGGAACTGTAGACTATGCAGGGCTCTTCAGACTGGCTTCTTTCACTAAGTAATATACATTTAAGATTTCTCCACATCTTTTCATGGCTCGATAGATCATTTCTTAGTAGTGCTGAAGAATATTCCATTGTCTGGATGTACCACAGTTTATCCATTCACCTACTGTTGGACATCTCGATTGCTTCTAAGTTTTGGCAGTTATGAATAAATCTCCTATAAACATCCATGTGCAGTGTTTTATGTGGACATAGGTTTCTACCTCCCATGGGTAAATACCGAGGAGGGATTCCTGGATGGTAAGACATGTTTAGTAAGAAACTGCCAGGCAGTCTTCCCAAGTGTCGCATTCCCACCCGCAGGGAGTGAGGGTTCCTGTCCCTCCACATCCTCACCCATATTTGGGATCATCAGGGGTGGGGATTTGGGCCATTCTAGTAGGTGAATAGTGGTATCTCATTTTATTTGTATTTTCCTGACAACATATGAAGTGGAACACCTTTTCATATGCTTATTTGCCATCTCCCTATCTTCTCTGGTGAGGTGTATTTTGGACAACAGTCCTTTTTCAGATGTGTCTTTTGAAACTATTTTCCCACAGTCTGTGGCTTGATTTCCCATTCTCTTGACAGTGTCTTTCGCAGAGCAGCAATTTTACTGAAGTCCACTTTATGAATTCTTTCTTTCATGGTTTGTGCCTTTGGTGTTGTCTCTGGAAATTCATTGCCATACCCCAGGTCATCTAGATTTTCTCCCATGTTGTCTTCTGGGAGTTCAACAGCTTTGTGCTTTACATTTAGGTCTATGATTTTGAGTTAGTCTTTGTGAAGGGTGGAAAGTCTACGTCTAGATTCATCTTTTTTTTTTTTTTTTTGCATGTGGATGTCCAGTTGTTCCGGCACCACTTGTGAAAAAACTGTTTTTGCTCCATTGTATTGCCTTTGCTTCTTTGTCAAAGATCAGTCGACTGTATTTATGTGGGTCTATTTTTGGGTTCTCTATTCTGTTCCATTTATCTATCTGTCTCTTCTTTCACTGCTTCACAACTATCTTGATTATTATAGCTTCATAGGAAGTCTTGAAGTAGGGTTGTGTCAGTCCTCCAATTTTGTTCCTTTTTTTTTTTTAAGTTTTTATTTATTTATTTGACAGAGAGAGACACAGCGAGAGAGGGAACACAAGCAGGGGGAGTGGGGCTTTCTGAAAGCTACATGAGGTGTGATACTGAGGGAGAAGCAGGCTTCCTGCCGAGCAGGGAGCCCGATGCGGGGCTCGATCCCAGGACCCTGGGATCATGACCTGAGCCGAAGGCAGACACTTAACGACTAAGCCACCCAGGCACCTCCTCCAATTTTGTTCTACTCCTTCAATATTGTGTTGGATGTTTGGGGTTTTTGGGTGCTCATTTTTTAAGAGTCTAAAGGGTGGGAGGGAGGGTCCTAAGACCAAAAAGTTTGAGAACTGCTGTTGTAGAGACAGATGGGCACACAGATGAGTGTATTAAATTCTTTTGTTTGGAAAGAGGATAGAATGTAGTGGAAGGGAACCCAAACTGAGTTTTGTACATCTTATTGCCCTGTTTTAGGAGCTGAGCAAGCTTGTTGTGTTAGGGCACATCTGTGAGAGTCCAAATTTAGATGGTGTGTGACAGAGACAGGAACCTGGTCTCAGAGAGAACCCTAGAGGGGTGTAGGACATGAATTGTTGTCTTCCCTTGGGACCAGAGAACGCAGGGCAGATGAGGGAGGTTTGGAATTGGTGTTTCCATTTCTCTGAGCGAAAGGTGAGTCTTGGGTATTAGGATTGTGCACGTGAACCAAGCACGGTGCCTCTTCATCTCTGCAATTAAGATGTGTTAACTCTCAAGAATAAACCAGGTTAAAAGGGCAACAATCACATCTTGTACTGTTCACCTACCCCCCTTGAAGTTCTGCAGGAAACATATGCAGAGAGGAAAAGGTAGGGCTTTGGTCTCAAACCCCAGGATTAAAAAAAAACCCCAAAACAAAAAAAATTCCAAAACCCTGTTGTGTGGGTCTCCTCCAGAGAGAAAGCTTTATTTGCTGAAAGAAGCCAGTTGCTTTCTCTGCTCCATTCTTGCAGGCCACACCCCAGACTCAGACCACTCCTGCGCTGGGTGAGGTCGGCAGCTGACTAGAGCGGGCCCGTGCCATCTCCCACCTGCACTGTCAGGCCACCCAGCTGCTCTCAGGCCCAGTTGACCTCATCAGCTGCAGGAGATTCTTGAGGGATCCCAAGAGCAAGCCAAAGCAAGCAAGCCTGAAGACCAAGCCTTCCTGTTCCCTAACCACGTGGAAGGATATCACTCCCAGGGACCACCCTTGATTGCCTCCCATCCTTTAGCCACTTGCCAGACACCCTGAAAGCACCAGTCCAGGCCCCGTGCCCAAAGTAACAGCATTCTTACTGGGGAGGCAGGGCTGTTTTTAACCTAGGGAAACCAGTGGGTTCAGAGGGTCTGCAGAGGTCCAGAGATCAGGTGTCTGTGCTGTTTTATGGGGAGAAGGTCTAGACTTTTCATCAGATTTCAAAGATGGGGAAAGTCCTTCCTTGTAAAAAGTTAAAGGATCATTGTGTTAGCAGGCAACACTAGTTAGAGCCGTCCTGTTGCAGGTTAGTCAAGGAGTCCATTCAAGCATATTAATTCAGCAAATAGTTGATTTGCTCTCCATGCCTGGCTCGGTGCTGAGGGCTGGAGACGTAATATTGAGTAAGACCAGATGGGATCTCTGTGTCATTGAAGCGCACAGATGTAAATCAAATACTCACACAAACGCATGTCTAATTTAAAAAATCAAATGTTGCTCTGAATTTCAGAACATGGTTCTATGATAGATACAATAGTGGATGTTTAGTTTTTGTTTTTGTGTATTTGTTTATTTTTGAGTAGGTACTATATTCATGTTGAAAAATTCAAAAGGATTATATAGTGAAAGACCACTCCACCCCCGCCCCCGGCACTGCGCCACCCACTTAACTGTTATCCCTCAGCCACTCCCTGGAGGCCATGCATTCTTCATAACATGAGTGGCTGTTCTGCTGTTCAGCGGGGGCAGAGGAAGGGGAGTGTAGAGAAAGCCTACCTGAGGATATGACACTTGAAATCTGAATCATGAATGTGAAGCGAAGAAGACTGGAAGGGCATAAGGGAGGCATTCTAGGTAGAGGCAATAGCTTATGCAAAGGCCCTGTGGCAGGAGACAGCTTGATGTATTAGAAGAATGAAAAGAAAGCCTATATGGCTCAAGTGCAGAAAGCAAGGGGAGGAGAGGTCCAGGATGCTGCTGGGTGGAGAGGGTGCAATCTTGTAGCTCTCTTAGCATTGTGGACTTTCCCCTCAGAGCCTGGCAAGCCACTGAACAATGAGAGGAGGTAACCTTCAATCACACTTGGATTTTGAAAATGTTACCCTGGCTGTAGTATGGAGAATGGATTGTAGGGGAAAGCAGTTAATATGCTTATTTAGTTCAGGTGAGAAATGATGTGGCTTGGTGGTAGTGATGTATCTATATATATTGCAAGAAATGCATTGGTATACAAGATTCTTCTGAAAAATGTGAACAAAATGTTTGTTGCCGTTCTCTCAACCTAGTGGAAGAAAATTCCATAACAAGAGTCAGCTTAGAATGTAGTTAACACCCTGGTTGTATTTGGTCCAAGTGCGTGGCCGAACTAACAGGATAATTTAGCATCCTGTAAGAGACTGGTGGACAAAGGTCTGAAGTCTCATAAAATCTTGGTAGAAGTCGTCTGGTCCCGGCTCCTGCTTGAGCACCCCAAAGACATCTCCCCTGTGCGGGAGCCCTCCAGTGGCTGGAGGTTGTTACTGTTGTTACCAAGTCATAACAGAATGACCATGTGGGTGATGTGCGCTAATTAGGAAACAATTGTTTTGGTCTCTGCACACTCAATTTTCCTTCTCTTCTCCTGACCCCCCCCAGAATGGCTTATGCTGAGGAGCAGGGAGGTATCCCGTGTGGTTTCATCCGCCAGAATTCCAGCAACTCCATTTCCTTGGACTTTGAGCCCGACACGGAGTTCCAGTTTGTGGAGCAATTAGAGGAGCGCTACAAATGTGCCTTCTGCCACTCCGTGCTGCACAACCCCCACCAGACGGGCTGTGGGCACCGCTTCTGCCAGCAGTGCATCGTGTCCCTGAGGTGAGCTCGCAGGGCCTGCAGCTCTGGTCACAACCTGAGGCGGGGGGTGGGGGGGGAGGGCGGGGGGGCGGGGGTGTTCCTGGGACCCAAGTGTCCAGAGCGACCACTCGATTGGAATGATAGCTTTGGGAATTGCTGTGGTTGGCCACAGAAGCACGAACACGAGGAGGGGCTCTCCCGGAGCCCTTCTCCGAGAGCCTAAGGAATCATGTTTTGGTTTTTGGTTTTGGGGGGTTTTTTTGCCACTCCCACTTATTGATAGTCACCTTCCCCCACCCTTTCTTTTACATCAAGTGTAATGAAAATACAGTGTTCTATTAGTTTCAGGTGTACAATATAATGAGTCAAGAATTCTATACATGACTTGGGGCTCATTTCAGTCACCTTTTTTAAAAATGTAGATCACACCTGTTTTGCACGGGAGGGCAAACCTTGATGCACGTCTGTGTTGGGAAGGACCTGCGTTTCACAGGGGTCTTTGTGGTGGTCGCTTGGACCTTTCCTTGCCAAAAGGCAACGGTGGTGTCACCTCCAGAAAGGGACCGCACCTCAGTGGCAGCTGTAAAACCTGGGTCCTGCCATTTTGAAGGTGGAGACCAAGATAGATGTGGAAGCAGGCTTTGGGGGCTTATTTAGGGCAGTAAGTAAGCTGTCTCCTACCAAGCTTGGAAAGGGGGTTATTATAGCACATTCTCATTCATTCATGGGTTTGTCCATTCAGCACCTGTGTGTTCCAGGCACCTTACTAAGCTAAGCTCTAGGGCATGGAGAGGAAGGGCTGGAGGTTCAGTGTGGAACAGGACCCAGTGTCTGCCCTCTAGAATGCTCCAGCCTAGTGAAGGAAAGAGGCTGTGTTACAGGGTGATAAGCCCTGGCAGAGGACATTGAACTCTGTCTGGGGGACTTACTAATTGACCTGCATCCTGGGGAATGAACGGGAGTTTTTCAGCAGACTGGGGAGGTGCTGAAGCTACAAAGGGGGAGTGGGGGAGAGATAGAACCCTTCCTGGGGGAGGGAGCGGCAGGAGGGGAGACAGGGCCCAGCCTGTTCAGGGGCAGCTCTAAGGGGTCAAGCATGGCGGGCGTGCTGGGTCTGCTCTTGGAAGAGCTGTTGGGGTCAACTCTTAATTCGGCTTTATTTTTATTTATCTCTCCAGAGAATTAAATGCAGTCCCACTCTGTCCTGTAGATAAGGAGGTTATCAGATCTCAGGAGGTAAGAAAATCCCCACTTTGGTTTAGCAGTTCGCTGGGTGATGGAGAAGCCGGTGTCCTGGGTTGAATTGGACATAGAGGTCGGAGCAGTAGAGCAGGAGAGGGGGCCCTTTCTTAGAGTCCACATTCCTCTCCTACGGGGTCAGGTCAAACCCCACTCCTACCACTGTTTCAGAGGCTTCTTTGGGTCTTTAATGACTCCACACCCCAGTGTTTCCTCTGTCCTCTCCTTACCCCCTTCCTACAGCAGCTCCAGGTGTACTGAGTTGCTTGGAGAACTGAAACATCCTGTTCTCTGGAATTCACTTTCTCCTCTGGTCTGTTTCTAGAACTTCCTTCTATTATTATTATGTCTAACAATAGCTTTATTTAGATATAATTCATATGCCATAAAATTTACCTTTAAAGTGTATGTGTTTCTTGGGTATACACCCAGGAGTCGAATTACCGGGTCATGTGGTAATTCTGTTTAGGGTCATAATGGTCACTCTGTGTAACATTCTGAGGAACGGTCAGATTATTTTCCAAAGCAGCTGCACCATTTTACATTCCATCCAGCAGGGTGTGAGAGTTCTAATGTCTTAGATCCTTGCCAAAAGTTGTTACTGTCCATCTTTTTGATTATAGTCTTTCTAGGGGGTACCTGTTTTGATTTGCATTTCTCTGATGATTAAGGATATGGAGCATCTGTCATGTGTTTGTCCATTTGTATATCTTCTGGTAGAAATGCCTATTTAATTTCTTTGCCCAGTTTTAAGTGGATTACTGGTCTCTTATTGATGAGTTCTAAGAGTTCTTTTTATATTCTAGATAAAAGGCTCTTATCAGATACACGATTTGCAAATATTTTTCTCCCATTTTGTGGGTTGTCTTTTCACTCCCTTGGTGGTGTCCTTTGAAGCATGAAAAGCATTTCGTTTTGATGAGTCTTACTTGTTTTTGTTTGTTTGGGTTGCTTGTTCTTTTAGTGTTGTATCTAAGAAATTGTTAACTAACCCAGTTTTCCTCCCTTAAAACTTCCTTTTTGGCGGGGGGGGGGGCGGGCGTGGAGGGAGAGAGAGAGAATCTTAAGCAGGCTCCACATTCAGTGCAGAGTCCAATGTGGGGCTCGATCTCATGACCCTGAGATCAGGACCTGAACTGAAATCAAGAGTTGGACCCTTAACCAACGGAGCCACCCAGGCACCCCTCCCTTAAAACTTCCTTTTAAGCTCAGTTTTCTTCCTTTACAATTCTGCTAGAGGGCATTCAAGCATCACCTCCTTTAGGAAGTTCCCTGAGCACCTGGTCTGATGTACATGCTCCTGCCTTTTTTTAAGATTATTTTTTAAGAGTATTTATTTATTTGTTTGTTTGTTTGTTTATTTGTTTGTCAGAGAGAGCAAGAGCACAAGTAGGGGGAGCGGCAGACAGAGGGAGAAGCAGGCTCCCCGCTGAGCAGGGAGCCCGATGCGGGACTGATTCCAGGACCCTGGGATCATGACCTGAGCTGAAGGTGGATGCATAACCGACTGAGCCACCCCGGCATCCCTCCTTCTCTATGCTCTTATGTTGTGTTTTGCAAATGCCTCGCAGAGGACAGTGCTGTGTTTGTGTGTGCCTCACCCACTCGATTAGGGGTTGGCATACTACAACATGAGATTTGTTGGGACAAATCCAGCCTGCCACCTGTTTTTGTATGGCCTGTGAGCTAAGAATGGTTTTCCTATAAATGATTGGAAAAAATCCAAAGAAGGGTACACAGGAGCTCTGTACTATCTTTGCAACTTCTTGTGAGTCTTTGAACTATTTCAAAACAAAAAAACTTATTTTAAAAATCAAGAGAAGAATCATGTTTTGTGACACATGAAAATTACATGAAATTTATACTTCAGTGTCCATTAATAATGCCTTATTGGAACACAGCCATATATATCCGTTTAAGTATTGTGTACAGCAGAGGTGAATAGTTGAAAAAGAAAAGGTTGCATCATGGCCTGCAAGGCTGAAAATACTTACTCTCTGACCCTTTATGGAGAAAGTTTGCCAACCCCTGGTGTGCGCTGAAATAGCACGTCAGCGCAGCCTCGGTGACACTACCTGATGACTAATACAAACTTTTACACTATGACAGGAAGCTGAAAGCGTTACCTCCCTCCACAGCCCACCTTCTGACCTTTGAGCATACGAGGTCAAGTGCACCATGAGATTCTCCTGCAGCCTACTGCACTGAGCATTGAATTTCCTGACTTGTGTTCAGTGGCTTGTCGGAAACATGTATCTGAGAAAGCCTCTTCTTTGATGGTGCTGAATCTGTTATTTCCATTCCAACTTGTCTGGAAGTTTCCACCTGACTTTTGAGATGTATTTGAAGACCAAATTAATAGTAGTTTCATTCACATTGCTCTGAAGCTTTGGAGTGTATGAGACCTATTATGTTTCTCTCTTAGGTGTTCAAAGACAATTGCTGCAAAAGGGAAGTCCTCAATTTATATGTGTATTGCAAAAATGCTCCTGGTTGTAATGCCAAGATTATTCTGGGACGATACCAGGTTGGTATTCCTCATGACCAGTATTTGCCTTTGTCATTTTTTCCAGTGACGTGTATTGAACACCTTTATGTGTCAGTTCCTGGGCCAAGCATGGTACGAGGCTCACTGGGTTGCTCTCAGAGAATGCCTGTCTAGCAATACATTTAGCTCCAGTACAGCACACCAAGGGCTAAGGTGTGAGTGAAAAGGTCCATTTTGTTTGGAACGCATGGAGGGAGTACTATCTGTGCTAGACCTAAATTATGGGTTAGGGGTCATTGATCCAAAAGAGAAGATGTGGGGCAAAAGGACGTGTCATTTGTGGGGAACTGTGAAGGATTTGGGGTCCCCAGGGTGGAAGCTATGGCAGCCTGCAGAAAGATATGATTGCAAGAGACCCTGCCCGAAAGTATTGGCAGGTGGTGGGTGGGTGGGTGGTTCCCAGCAGCTGTGGGCCGTGGCCTGTTAGTTTGTGACCTGAGGCATATAATGCAGACCAGATCAGATTTGGGATGTGGTTTAAAGGTGAATCATTGGTATGAGTTGCAAACATGTAAGGTGTAGGGGTAGCGAAGGGGAGTTATTTTCACATGAAACTGCCCTGCCTGGTTCTTCTATCCAGCTGGGGAAGCCGGAAGCTTGGTAAATGTCAGACTGGAAATGGGGCAATAGGGCTCTGCCATGGCAGGCCCCAGGCAGGTTTGATCACACTGTGCAGGAATAAGAAGCAGGCATTTCTGGCTTCCAGAGAATGGCTTGGAGGCTGCTGAGATTTTCCTCTCCCACACACACATTTTGGAATACATTTCAGGTGATTCAGCCTTTTCTCCACCTTGCCTCCAAACCCCCCAGGCACTGAGTTCCTAACGTGTAAATGCTTTCCCCGTTAACCCCAGAATTTTTCTGGAGGTCACCGAACTTCCTAGAACTTTCTCACATTGTGATAGGCCCTAGAGCAGGCCCTCTTTTCCAATTTTGTTGTCACGAAGCCTGAGCAGGAAATGAGGCTCAAGCTGGACCATCCAGCTCATCAGCTTTTGTGACCAGATCATCAGCTTCTGGAGAACAGTGGCTGGTTTCTTTTCACCTGTTTACTTCTGTGTTTCCCCGCATTCCTGCCCCCTACCCACACCCCGGCTTGCATGGTGAGATGTAGGCTCTCCCCAGGTAGTGGAATCCTGATGAGTGTTGACTGTCCTCGGTGAGAGTGAATTTTGGAGAATTTTGGAGAAGATATGGATTTCAGTGAAGAAACAAAGACTCTGTTTCTTATTACTAGAGGCTAAGGAGAGGAGCTATAATATTCATTTACCTCCTGCAGAAAAACTGGTTGCTTTTTCTCTCGTTCAGGAAAGGGGTCAGCAGACTGTTCTGTCAAGAGCTAGTTAGTAAAATGTTTAGGCTTTGCTGGCCACACAGTCTCTGTATCTGGCCCTCAACTCAGCTCTTCCCTTTCAGAGGGAAAGCAGCCCCCCCCCCCCCCCCATCTTCCCCCCCTCCCCGCAGTATGTAAACAAGTAGACGGGTGGCTGTTCTCCAGAAAAACCTTACTTACAAAAACAAGTAACAGCCCAGCTGTGTTTTAGGGGATCTCGCAGGGGACGGGACCATCACAATAACTTGCAGTGATCCAGAGGTTTTATTAAGGTACGCCTCCTGCTTTAAAAAATCTATACCATGAACAATACTGGAACGAGCACTGTCCATGTCATCGTTGCCTCGTATTCTGGTGGAGAACATTTTCTGACCACAGCCTGACCATTCCCAGCTTGTCTTGGGCCTGGGATCCTGTATTTCTTCTGTCTGCTTTTCTTGACCACTTCTGGAACAGCTCCCACTCCCTCTCCCCATTACTCTCTTCAATCCTTTCCCTTCCTTCCTGCACTTAGGACATGCCCTGCTCTTCTTCCCTCTTTCCCCTCCGTCCTGGCTTTTGCCATCCGCTGTGCAGAGATTAGTAGTTGGTGCCGGGGGTGCAAAAAGAAATGAAAAATGTCTTTGAAGAATGGGTAAATCACTCAGCGAGCCTAAGGAAAATATTCAGGAACTAACCTGAGGAATCTGAGCTAATAGATAATCTGAAGTAGACTCAACATGCTTCCTTCTCCAGCCATCTTCCCTGTCCTCCCAACTCCTATCAAACAAGGCTGGCACAGCCTCGGTCTGCCCAGCTGCCCACCGTGTCCTCCCTCCCTCTCTAGGCTTCCGGCTGGCCCCCCCACCATCCCCCTGCCCTGGTCAGTGTGGCCCACTGGCCTGTTTTTTCTGTTGCAGGACCACCTCCAACAGTGCCTATTTCAAGCTGTGCAGTGTTCTAATGAGAACTGTCAGGAACAAGTCCTTCGGAAAGATCTGAAAGAACATTTGAGTGCACGTTGCCATTTTCGAGAGGAAAAATGCCTTTATTGCAAAAAAGATGTGGTAGTAATCTATCTACAGGTAAAACGAAAGAAAAACGTATCGTCTTTATGGGACTAAATTCTACCTGAGCGGTCACAGTGAATCGGGACATGACTGAATTTATTTTTGTACAGCAATGGGTCTGAAGAATTTTCTGAGAGTTCTGTAAAAAGCGAAAAACCTTCTTGTTGGACTCTAGAGTAGGACTCTACTCATTTATCATTGGCAGAAGCATTGTTTGAGCACCTACTGAGTGTGAGTGTGCAAGGAGCGCTGCTGGGTGCTGGCTCACAAGGAGGTGACGATACTGTGTCCTCGTGGTGCTATGATCTAACTGGAGTGGCAGGATGTAGGCAGAGAAAGAGATCATGGGTACCTTTTACATGTACTGAAGGAGCCATACTGATGACTCCCATAGTCTGCCCTCCGTGAGTCCTCTGCCCTCTGACCCTCTTTTGGAATAACTGGAAAATTGAATTGAATTCATGGGAAGGAGGTGGCCATCTTTAGTCCTTTTTGGAACTAGGCTGTACCTTCCTGTAGAGGGTAAGCCACATAAGATCCCCAGAGACATATGCATAAACACTCTGAGGCCGTAGAAGGGAACCCTGGGAAGCAAGGATTGGCTCTGTTTCATCATCCTTTCTCTGTTTCAGAATCATGAGGAAAACTTGTGTCCTGAGTACCCAGTATCTTGTCCTAACAGGTGTTTGCAGATTATTCCAAGAACTGAGGTAACTGTAAATGAATCTCTTAGTAGATTTTATGTAAGATAAAGTTTTAGTAACCACTGTGATGTGTGTTTGATCAAATCCCACAGGCTGAGGCCTAAGGTTTAAAGCACACCCACAATAACCACGTCTCTGTGTCCCCTTCCCTTTTCCCTGAGAGTTCTCCATTTTTACTGTAGCTCTCCCTCCGCCAGGCCTCAGCGTGGCTTTTCCCCTTCTGTTTCCTCCCTCCTTCCCAAGTCACCTTGGGGTTCCCTGCATGCTGTAGTTCTCTCAGGCAGCTGGAGAATTGGTGATGAATTTCGGTAGCATGAGGTGTCCCTTTTGTAGGTGGATGAACACCTCGCTGTGTGTCCTGAAGCTGAACAAGACTGTCCTTTTAAGCACTATGGCTGTACTGTAAAGGTATGGGATGCCTTTTTGTTTCTGCCTCTACATTCTACTGTGTAATTTATTTGGCAGGTTTATTTTACTCTTTGATTCCATTCAGGATGCAGAAGGACATTCACTTTGGAAGAACTTTAACACTGGCAGTGTTATTAGTCAGGGTTCTCCAGAGAAGCAGAATCAATAGGGAGATATGTATCTACATATAGATACATAGATAGAAATTTATTTTAAGAAATTAGCTTATGTGACTGAGGGGGCTGGCAAGTCAGATTATTTGCAGGGCAGACCAGCAGGCTGGAGTTTCTATGTGATAGTCTTGAGGAGAAGTGCTTCTTCTTCAGGAGACCTTATTTTTTTGCTCATAAGGCCTTCAGCTGGTTGAATGCGGCCCTACAGCATTATGGGGAGTAATCTGCTTTACTTAAAGTCAACTGATCGTAAATGTTTATCACATCTACAAAATACCTTCACGGCAACATCTAGATTAGTGTTTTTTTTTTTATTATTAAGATTTTTATTTATTTGACAGAGAGAGAGAGAGATGGCGAGAGAGGGAACACAAGCAGGGGGAGCGGGAGAGGGAGAAGCAGGCCTCCTGCTGAGCAGGGAGCCCAATGCGGGGCTCCATCCCAAGACCCTGGGATCATGACCTGAGCCGAAGGCAGCCGCTCAACCGACTGAGCCACCCAGGCGCCCCCTAAATTAGTTTTGAACAAACAACTGGGTACCATAGACCAGCCAAGCTGACACACAAAAATTAACCATCATGGTAACTTTTCTAATTTGTATTCTGTTGTCTCTACCAGAGTTTGAGACTTTCTGGAGTCATTCTTCTGATAATTATAAATCTTGGTTTTCTGGTACCCCCAGTCTATCACCAAGTATTCTGAAATAGAATTGATTTGAAATCATGTTTTAAAGGGTATTTTATTACCTATTAAAGACCTTTAAAAATATTATTCAATAAATTGTATAAAATAAATTTAAAAAAAAGAAAGTTTGATTCCTACCTCATTTTAACATATTCCAGATGGATCAAAGTTTTAGGTATTAAGATATATCATGCACTGTATTATTTCACACTTTGTGTACATCTAAAATCACTCCAAATAAAAAGTTTATTTTAAAAAATCATAAAAATATTAGAAGAAAAGGTGAGCGAATTTTTTTTATTCTTGAAATAAAGATTGTTCTTAGATGACTAACACAAAACCAGAAGCTATAATTTTGATGTTTAACCACAAATATTTGAAACTTTTATACAATTTTTAAAAATACCATAAATAAAGTCAAATGGCAAACCACAAACTGGAAGTAAATATCTCCAACATATGACAAGACAAAAAGGGTATTTTCCTTAATATACAAAAACTGTCACATGTAAATAGCTTTTCCAACTTAATAGAAAAATCGGCAAAGGAATATATGAGTAGTTCCAGAAAAAATTCAATTGACTAATAGATGTAAAAAAAAGACACCCCATCTCACTCCTAAATAAATGTAAATCATGGCAAGAAATAAAATTTTCACCATCAAACTGACAAAGATTAATACAATTTATAATCTATAACTTTTTATGAGGGCAGTTTGGTTCTATCAATGAAAAGTTGAGGGTGCTTGGCTGGCTCAGTCAGATCTTGATCTCAGGGTTGTGCGTTCAAGCCCCATGTTGGGCATACAGCTTAGTTTTTAAAAAAAATCAAGTAAAATAAAAGGTTCTTTATTTAAGAAAAAAAGTGAACCCACACATTGACCTTATAATTCTATTGCTAGGAATTTCTCATAGATACTCTTTCATAAGTATGCAGTGATTACACACATACACAAACACACTCACACAAAGATGTTTATATAGCAAAAGAAAACAAGAAACTAAAAACCTGTAAGCCCATCACTAAAGTGCTGACTATGTAAGTATATATATTTGTATTTGGGAATGGCATGCATTTGATAAAAAGAATAAGGTACATATTTTTAAAAATTGATATGGTTATCTCATTGAGTTAAAAATGTGTATATATTGTCGCTGACTCTGGTGAGTGAGAGACTAGGGAATTGGGGGTGGTGATGGAGAGAAGGAGCCCTTTTGCTTTTTATTCTCTATCTTGCTGTATTATTTGACATAAGCATACATTTCTCTTATTTTAAAAACCTATTGGAAAAAAATGTATATTGTGAGAAGTCTTTTAAAAAAAAATCAGTGAAGAGGGCACCTGGGTGGCTCAGTTGGTTAAGCGACTGCCTTCGGCTCAGGTCATGATCCTGGAGTCCCGGGATTGAGTCCCGCATCGGGCTCCCTGTTCGGCAGGGAGTCTGCTTCTCCCTCTGACCCTCCTCCCGTCATGTGCTCTCTCTCTCTCATTCTCTCTCTCAAATAAATAAATAAAATCTTAAAAAAAAAAAATCAGTGAAGAGTCCATACATTTTCACATATCAAACCAGTGATTGTCTTGGCTGCAAAACAGATAGGGTTTACCTTTTTAGTGCACGAAATACAGAATTGCTTTCCAGCTCTGAGAGAAATCTTCTTTACAGTTAGGCCTAAACTCCCAGTTGGGCTGTCCTCTAGAACTCACCTCAGTACCAAAGCTGAGGATGAGATTTGTTCTCTGGAAGAGGGGCCATTCCTAAACTGGAGGGAAATTGATGGTTAATGTACGCTTAGGTCCACGGAATCACCCAGAACACCTAACATTTGCTTTTACTAGTAATATAGGCAGTTTGCAATTCAGTATTTTAATGATTAGGGAAGAAGTTACCCTTTATTCTTGCAAACATATTGCTTGATTTTGAGGGCAATGAATTTGCGTGGGCTGAAATTACTATCAGGTTGCGTACCTTTCACCTTTGGTAGAACGGAGCGTGGAAACGTGTGCTTAGTAGGAGACAGAACTCACCTAGGCTTGACACTGATCTGAAGCTAACCCACCAAGGAGATAGGTTTTATGTGGGATTAGTTGAGAGATGATAACCACACTTAACCCACAGTCCTAGATTTCCAGTGCACAGAAGGAAATCTGCTTCTGAGAATTTTGACAGTGGCCTGATTCTCTGTTTCTGTAAATTTAAAATTGTCTCATGGGCACCTTAGAATCCTGGAGCTGGAAAGGGGACCAGAGGGGCTATTTTTTCCTGCAATCCACCTTTAGACAAATAAGCACAGTTGTCACAGTTCTGCGTTAGCAGAATACCCCCCCACCACCTTCATTTTTGGAGCCTTTCAACAACCTCACTTCCTTTCATCTTCCCATTGAAGGCCAAACGGGGAAACCTGCAGGAGCATGAGCATTCAGCCTTACGGGACCACATGCTTCTGGTTCTAGAAAAGAACTTCCAATTAGAAGAACAGGTAAATATTCAAGGGTTCACACGTAAAGGGAGGCAGCACAATTGCTGGGATTGGTAACTGTTGGTGTTTTTACATTCTCCTCTGTTTCAGTACAAGTCAACTGGAGGTAGATGTTTTTCTACTAAGTGGGCAGGCAGACTCATAGGATTATAGAACATTAGAACTGGAAGGTGCCTTTGAGGTCTTGGGGTCCAGCCGCCTCATTCAACAGATAAAGTGACTAAGCTCAAAGAAATTTTGATGTGTTTGTAACTTGTAAGTGGCAGAATTGAATCTCAAACCCATGGCCCCTGATTCTCAGTCCAATGCTCCACATGAAATACCATACAGCCTCTCTGCAGCCTAACTTAACACACCTTCTGGTTAATATTTGGCACCTGGTAGGTGACGAGTAGGCGTTTGATGTTTTTTAATTAGCCCAGTGTTGCTTTGAAACAACAGTTGACCATCTGTTCTAGGCATTATGGGTTTTAGATATTTTGCAGTAAGTCTTAACTCCTGCCCCTGAGAAGCTTTGCAGCCTGCTAAATGCATACATCCCTCTTTATTTCACTGAGTTGGGATTATCAAGTGAAATTGTGTGTGCAAATGCCTGCCACAGTACCTGGAATATTCATAATGGACCTCAATAAATGCTGATTCTGTGGAGTAATTATTCTAAAAGTTAACTGTTTTGTTAGAACCTCTCAGAGGATCAGACTTTGTAAGCCCAAGGCAGGAAGAGAAGGAGCCAAATTCTACTATTGCTAATCATTTTCTGATGTCTGGTTCCGTATTAAAGGAGGTGTGTGAGTTTCAAGGTCAGATCCTGGAGAAAATTGGGAAGACCGGTTAAACTGTAACTTTGGTAGAGGGCACGCTGCCTGGTAACCATGCCCAGGTTCTTTCTGTACCACTCGCCTCATCCGTCCATCCATTCATTCATTCAACAAACACCTGCCATATGTCAGGCATGAGGTTAGTTGCTAGGGGCTCTGAGTGGAGGAAGACATGGCTTCTGCCCTTGAAGAACTCAGGAAAATGCAAATAGATAAGTTGCTGTGCCCTGGGACATGCTGTGGCTCAGTCTGGGGTACGGAGGATGCAGCGATTTCCTCTGTGGCGGTTGGGGGAGGCTCTTCAAGGGAGCACATCCGAGCTTCGCTTTGAAGGAAGAGAAGATTCGTCAGCCTAAATGTTGTGGAAAGAGGACGTTCCAGAAGAGGAAAGACAGGGACGCGTCAGGCTGATGGTTCGAGGAACGGGGGTTTTGGGGTGGTGAGGCTCCTGAGTGTGAGACGGGGAGAGCTGGAGGCTGGTATGCTGGATCCATCTAGCAGTGGCCTTCCACGTAAGCTAAGAAGTTGCAGATACTATACATTCAATTATTTTTTTTTTATTCATTCATATGCTGCCTTGTTTCAGAAAGGATTTAAGGGCCCAAGTTTGAACTAATGTTTGTCAGTAATAGGGAGCTAATAATGGAGGCTTTGAAATAGGAAAATATAGGTTTCCCCCACTATGGGAAAGTAGAGCAATCCTATGAAACCTGTGAAGGGGTGTAAAGCAAAGAAGCGGTTACCATTTCGTAAAAAGCGAAAATCCTCTTTGACTTCTTTCGGTTAGTGAAAACAGGTACTAACAGGGCTTTCATAAAAACAAAGTGGCATTAGGTGAACTTTTGGATAGTGGGGGCAGGCGAGGACCAGTGTGTGGCCAGCTAATTGTCTATTTGGCTCTGAAAAGTAGGACAGCTTTGGGACGCCTGGGTGGCTCAGTGGGTTAAGCATCTGCCTTTGCCTCAGGTCATGATCTCCAAGTCCTGGGATGGAGCCCCATGTTGGGCTCCCCGCTCAGTGGGGAGCCTGCTTCTCCCTCTTCCTCTGCCCCTTCCCTTCCCCCTGCTCGTGCTCGCTCTCTCTCAAATAGAAAAGTAAAATCTTAAAAAAAGAAAAAAAGTAAGACAGCTGGTGGTAGCATAGAAGACAGACAGAGGCAGAGAAGAGCAGGAGGACAGGGGCCCAGGCGGAAGGATGTCGTACTAACCCAGACAGTGTAGCAGGAGAGCCTGGCGATGGATGGGTGGGGGCTCCGGAGCCAGAACGCCTGCTTTGAAGACCTGGCTCCTCCCTTGCCATGTGGGTTTGGACAAGCTACTTAACCTCTCTCTTCCCCGTTTCCTCATTCATAAAATGGGGTTGTGGTGAGGGTTAAGTGAACTGATATATTTAAGCTCTTTGCACAGTGCCAGCATGATAAGCAGCTCAGTATTAGGCGAAGGCAAGATACTGGAGCTGGCAGTGCTGGTGGTGCTGGGGAAGGTCAGCCAAGGCTGTGTCTGGGGATGGAGAGGGCATCAAGAGAGGTCGGAATGACAAAGCTGTAAGTCTAGAAGGCAGAGGACATGGTAGTTGTTACCTGAGATGGGCACTACAGGAACGGGAGCAGAGGAGAGGAGAGGGCAGGGGGAGGAGACACCGAGGTTTGCTCTCAGTCAGGGAGATAGGTCTGCCATGTAGGTGGAAGTCAGCTCTCAGGGTCTAAATGGAAGATTCTCGGGTCGGAGACCACACGGTTGTTAACAGCCATTCATGTATTCATTTCTAAAACATGTATCAGATGTCCCCTGGGTGCCAGGCACTGTGCTAGGCTTTGGGGATGAAGAAATGAGTGAGATGTGGCCTCAACAATTTTGTGGAGGAAAAAGAGTCAAACAACCCCAGAAAGCGGTAAGAGTAATGAGGGTAAGTTAAATGCTAGAGTGTGGTCAGGGGGTCTTGGAACTGGAGAGAGGACCTAGGTTGGTGGTATGGTGAGGAAATATTTCTGAGAGAAAGTGCCCTTGAGTGGAGGCTGAAAAACTGGTGGTTTCTAGATGGAGAAGGAAGCGTCTGAGAGAGCAGGACCCAATGGACCATAGAAGTGTGTAGTCTTGCTGGGCAGGGCGCTCGTGAGATGCGGCTGGGCAGGAGGCCAAGAAGGTAGCCAGGCGCAGATCATGTCCCGCGCTGTAGGGTCTGTAAAAGAAGGCCACTGAGGATGGTGAAGGAAGGGGGGGACGCGACAAACCAGATTTGTCTCTCCATATAACTCTGGTTACAGCATGGAGGATGAATTAGAGCGAAACAAGACTAAAGAAAGAGAGAGCATCATTTATTCATACAGTCACTCAACAAATATTTATCAAACAGCTGCCGGGCACCAGACCAGTTCCGGGGGTTACAGTGGACTGTGGGACCCATGTCCTAGTTCCCATAGAGCTTCCCTTCTGGCAGGAGTGTGAGGGATGGTGTAGGACCAGTTGGAAAGCTGTGGTCACAGCCCAGGTGATAAATAATGAAGGCTAAAACAGGCGTTGAAATGAAATGAGATGAAATGAGAAGTGGATATAAGAGTCGTGTTTGCTTTGCTGTGTGTCAGGAGTTAAAGTTGGTAAGTATGGAGGATTGAATGGATGAGGGGATAAGAGAAGAGCTGTTCAGGCTCACACAAGGCTTTTGGTTATTTCTCTCAGATACATTACAGATTCTAAGAACGTAACGTGTTTTGCCTACCACTTGCCAAGCTAGCTGTATGCTGGGCGGGTTCCTTAAACTCTCTGCCTCTGTTTCCTTGTCTGTAACGTGGGACTGATAGTCATACTAACTCACGGGGGTTCTTTGAGGATTAAAAGAGCTAATGACTATAAGGGTATGACAGACATTCAGCAAATGTCAGCTGTTACTACTGATACTGTGCAGAGAGCATCTTTTGTGGTATGGTGATCAGTACTCACCGATGGCTGAGTGGTTGTTCCTAAGTGCGTGCTGAATGAATGAAGAGAACCAGTCAGTAAATTTAGTCAAGTGATGTTACTATCATTAGATGAACCATCATAGCGGGGTAAGTATGGAAAAGACTGACAAGAAATCTTTGGATCTGGTTTTTTTGAAGTACCTGCAAATATTATATAGGAACCTACTGGTAAATATTTTCCTAGAAATGTATATGTAATTATATATGTATATATTTTTCTAGAAACACTTTCTTACCTGCAATATTTTCCTAGACCTGTATTTACATTATTTTAACTTGTATACATGCATTTAAATGATCTCATTCACATTCCTGTTATTAGATTTCTGATTTATATAAGAGCCTAGAGCAGAAAGAGAGTAAAATCCAGCAGCTAGCAGAAACTGTAAAGAAATTCGAAAAGGAGTTCAAGCAGTTTGCACAGCTGTTCGGCAAAAATGGAAGCTTCCTCTCAAACATCCAGGTGAGAAATGGCCTCTCTATTCATAGCCAAGATTTAGCCTTCAACTGGCCGTCCAGGCTTTCCTTACAGCTTAAGTGGAGATAATTTCAAATGTAAAGAAAAGCTACAAGAATAAGATACCGCTTAAAAATACCTGTGGATTCACCCAGATTCACCCATCGTCAGTATTCTGTCCCCTATCTCTCTCTGTCACGGTATGTGCGTGTGTGTTCTTTCTGAACCATTTGAGACTAAGCTGTATATACTAGGGCCCTCTACCCCTACAAACTTCGGTATGTATTTCATAAGAATAAGGATCTTCTTTTACATAACCTCAACATTTAACAATGTCAGTAAATTTAACATTGATATAATACTTTTATACAATTTATGGTAGTTGGGGTTGCAATTAATGTTGGGCCAATATTAGTCCCTTGATGTCAGCTTCATTGAGAATATCTATAGTTCTGCATTTTGCAATCAACAAAGCGAAACTATTCATTCCCTTGGGAAGAAAATGCTTTAAACAATACTAAAATATAGCAAAAATTACTTTGCAAATCATGACTTAAATAACCATAAACACATTTCTAATGAATAATGTCTTTATTGTGATTACAAAATTGATAGTGAAAAATATTTTAAGACCTGTGGCACGGGTAGTATTTTTGAAATGTAGACTCTCCCAGAAAAAGGCAGGCCATATATTTTCCATACTTTGTCAGCATACTGTGTGTGTGTGTGTGTGTGTGTGTGTGTGTGTAGAAAAAAAGGAAATCCCTGTCCCCCAAAAAAAGAAAAAAAAAAAGGAAATCCATCATATGTTACTATCTCAATTCTGACCTTTTTCTTTTTTTTTTTTTTTAAAGATTTTATTTATTTATTTGGGAGAGATATTTGAGAGAGAGAGAGAATGAGAGATAGAAAGCACGAGAAGGAAGAGGGTCAGAGGGAGAAGCAGACTCCCTGCTGAGCAGGGAGCCCGATGCGGGACTCGATCCCGGGACTCCAGGATCATGACCTGAGCCGAAGGCAGTCGCTTAACCAACTGAGCCACCCAGGCGCCCTCAATTCTGACCTTTTTCTAACACAGAAACTTCTCAGAGTTCAGGTACTAAGGGGCAAGGGTAGAGGAGTAATATAGGTCTAGTTTTATTTAATCTCTTCCATCTAAGGAGAACAATCAAAAGTTAGGTCTTAACCCCAGGGCACTTTGTACAACCTCTAGTGCTCACGCCAGGTGGCGGGTCTACTTCCAGCTCATTCTCTGCCTTCTAGGAGAGCAGGAGCGGATCAGGAGAGTAGCCTCTGAGAAGGAAGTTGTAGGCAAGTGGAGAGACAACAGGAGACTAGAGATACAGACAGGTAGAGAACCAAATGGAGAGAAATTGAGGGAGGAGTAAAAGCCAGGTGAAGAGAAGTTCCAAGATTTGGAACAGCAGCTGGGGCAGGGAGGAGGAGGAAGATATTAGGTGGCTCATCTCTCTGGGATCCTCACTGAATTTCCTCTTCTGGACTGTGCCTTTTTCATTTCACTAATTGATTAATTAAATGTGAAATGTTTGAGTTGAAAAAATTCAATCTTAGTGAATTACTAAGAGAGTAACGATTTTTTTTTTTTTTTGACATTATGATCCATGTTGTACTGAAAGGCTCTCGCCAGTCACATTGACAAGTCAGCTTGGCTAGAAGCTCAAGTGCGTCAGTTATTACAAATGGCTAACCAGCAACAAAATAAATATGATCTGAGGCCTTTGGTGGAAGCGATCGATACAGTGAAACAGAAAATTACCCTGCTAGAAACCAATGATCAGAGACTAGGTATGTCTCATATTTTTACTTCTCTTTTGATGATTCTGTTGTCTGCACCTGGCCAAAGGGAGAGTTGCAGCTGTCCAGGATAAACAGTGGTCGAATCTGGTATTTGTGACACAGAACAGCATGAGATTCTGGCCAGTCAGTGGTTCGGGGGGGAAGTAATGGAGGGCGATGGGCGGGGGCTGGAACAGGCAAGGGGTGGAAATGGGCCAGGAAATTCCAGAAACAGGGAGTGGTGGTTTTTAAGGAGAGTAGAAAATAATGAGAAAGCTAAGAGAGAGATGTGGCAGAAACATTGTTTTAAGTATAAAAAAATATAAAAGGGTTTGGCTGTTTAAAAGCATTCCAGTTATTAAATAATGGGACTCACCTTGCTAATGCACACCAGTTCAATGCTGTGTGTCTTCTCTACACTTTGGTGAGCTTCTGTTCAAGAGGTATGCATTTGGGTTTTCTTCCAAGACACGAGATTCATTGAGTTAATTATTAATACAAATGGTCCATTGGCGGACAATGAATTCGGTTCATCATTAGATGTCAGAATTTTATGGGTTCTCCTCAGATACCAAATTCCACTGTGGGCAAATTCTAAAGACAGCTTTAAGGCCTATGGAAGCTTTTTTTTTTTTTCTTTGCAGTTGTTTTGGAAGGAGAGACTAACAAACATGATGCCCACATTAATATCCATAAAGCCCAACTGAATAAAAATGAAGAGCGATTTAAGCTGCTGGAAGGAGCCTGCTATAATGGAAAGCTCATCTGGAAGGTGACGGACTATAAGATGAAGAAGAGAGAGGCACAGGACGGGCACACAGTGTCCATCTTCAGCCAGCCTTTCTATACCAGCCGGTGCGGCTACCGGCTCTGTGCTAGAGCATACCTGAACGGGGACGGGTCTGGGAAAGGGACGCACCTGTCACTGTACTTCGTGGTCATGAGAGGGGAGTTTGACTCCCTGTTGCAGTGGCCGTTCAGGCAGAGGGTGACCCTGATGCTTTTGGACCAGAGTGGCAAAAAGAACCACATTATGGAGACCTTCAAGGCTGACCCCAGCAGCAGTAGCTTTAAAAGACCCGACGGGGAGATGAACATTGCGTCTGGCTGCCCCCGCTTCGTGGCTCACTCCACTTTGGAGAATGCCAAGAACACCTACATTAAAGATGACACCGTGTTCCTGAAAGTGGCTGTGGATCTAACTGACCTGGAGGACCTCTAGTCCCTGTTTCTGGGGTGAGGGAAGGGCGTGTTGGGCCCAGAACCGTGGAGAAGGACACCTGTGATTATCATATGGATAGACTTAGAGCTCAGTACACATTTGTAGTTGGCTTTTTGCCCCTGGTGTTTGAAGTCCGTTTAAAACTTCTCAAGTGCTATCATCTTTTTACATTTTACTCTGTCCCAGTTTGAAACTTAAAACACTTAGACTATCCTCTCATTATTTATATTTTTATATCTCTTAAAAAGATGTTAAGTTTCTTGAAAGCAAGGTCTGGGGCCTGTCATTTTTACTGGTGCTTGGCATAGTGTCTCAGGGTAGGCACTGTGTGAAATGTTATTGAGGACCCAGAGGAAGAATTGAAAATGCTTCAGCATTTTATTATTTGGCCTGCTGATTCTCGACCTGATCGTAAGCCTATAAAAGCCATCTTTCAGGATAGGCTGTCCCAATTACATAGTTGGATGGTGTACTTTCAAAGACAGTATGCCCAGTTTGGACCAGACTTTATTTGGTCAAATGCTTAATTTGTGGAAATTACTATACCTCTAAATATTTTCATTAAAAATCAGGCAGCAAGTACAGTTTTGCAAGGCTGCATTAGAACTGGTGAATAGAGAAAGATTTTCATTCTTCCTGTTGAAGTAAACAGAAAATATTGCGTGGGGTGTGTGTGTGTGTGTGTGTGTGTGTGTGTGTGTGTGTGTGTGTAGAGAGGGATACAGTATATACCTATATATATATGGAGATATAGCCATCCAACTAAAGTTCATATTTTATTAGGTTCAACCATGTGAAAAAACTACTTTCATACATCAGAAAATGTCAAGTATTAACAGTTTCATGAGGTTCAATTTAGTACTTGTATATGTATACACCTAGTTTGAAGGTATTTTTGGTAATAATAGTAATGTGAGGATGGGCAGAATTTAGCATATGAATGAGAAAATGTCATAAATGGATAAGAGAAATTTGAAACTTAGGGAGAACACCACTTTTTATTCCTATGGTATCAAAAGTATTCTCATCCCAAACTGATTGCAAAAAGCAGTATCTCCTATTCTTTTTGAGAGAACTTTTGAATTCACAAATTGGTATGAAAATTTATATAAACTTGTGACTTATCGAAGTGTGAGTACTTTGTGAAAACAGAAATGATTATATTCTTATGCATCTATCTGTGTGGGTCTCTATACAGCCAGTTTCAGTTCACAGTGCCAGTCTCGAATGCAAGTAAACAGAACAGACAGCCACACACCCTTTGCCTGGTCCCTTGGACAATCAGTCCAACTACCTCTTTTCTCTTAGAAAGTGGTTGGAGACAGGGGTCTTAACCTACATAAGAATTCTGAACTGGAGACAAAGCTTTGATGGATGCACAGTAGGGGACCCAGGTGCTGAAATCATCTGAGAACACCACATTTTAGGGAAGGAGGAAGAAGAGCTGGGTAAGCATTTAGAGAAGGAATGGTCAGAGGGAAGAGAAGTACCAAGAGAGGTGAGAAGGCAAAAGAATGTCAGCAGGGCCAGACCGCCCCCCTGACAACAGCAGTCCGTCCCAGTGCACCCTGAGCCAACTTTTAAACTCATGGTCCCCTCCGTGCTGCTCCTTCCTCAGGAGCATCTCTGCATCTCTGCCCCTGGCCTTTGCCTTCAGCTGCAGTCTCAAATACCCAAGTACCTGCTGCACATCTAATCTTTGAAGGCCCAAAGGTACTTTATCTTTTTTTTTTTTAAAGATTTTATTTATTTGACAGAGTGAGAGAGCACAAGCAGAGTGAGGGGCAGAGGGAGAAGCAGGCTCCCTGCCAAGCAAGGAGCCCAATGCAGGGCTCGATGCAGGGCTCAATCCCAGGACCCTGGGATCATGACCTGAGCCAAAGGCAGACACTTAACCGACTGAGCCACCCAGGCATCCTCCCAAAGGTACTTTAAAGTCCACTTCAGAACTGGAGATCTTCCGGCTCTCCCTACCACTGCCAACCCATGACTCTTCCCATTTATTCTACCTCAGCTAATGACCTCATCCCCCAAGCCAGAAGTCTGGACACTGTCCTAGATTCCTCCCTCCCCTTCCCCATCCAGTCACCCACCCAGGACTGCCAACTGGACCTCCAAGTAATTTCTTTAAACTATCCCTACTACCTATCTCTACTGCCCACTACTTTCCAACAACTGCCCTGTTTGAAGGCCCGCATTTTTTGCTACACAGCCTGTTTTATTTTTTTTCTTTCGCCACTGTCACATCTAACCTCGCACTGCTACCCAGTAATCTAACATGAAAATCTGAGAACGACTCCTCACTCCACCTACTATCGCTGTATCACCAATAGGACAAAGCCCGGCCTCCTTGGCATGACATACAGGGCCTGCCATGCCTGCCTCAGCCCCTCCGCCCACCTCCTGCCAGTCCCCCTACTTCACCTTTAGCAATAGAACCACAAGCTGATTGGCATTTCTCTGTGCTGGTGCTGCACTTCTAACTGGAACACTCTTCTCTATTCTTACCTCTTTGTTTGCACGGTGAATTCTCTGTTTAAGATTCTGCTCTGGCCTCATCTTATCCAGGATGACTTTGCAAACTCCTTACTCACTGCGCCTCCCCTCCACCCCCTGCCGACCCTTCGCTAGGCCAAGAGCTCCTGCTCTGTGCTGTATATTTCCTTCTCTATTCTTCAGTTGTTGGACTTTTCTTTTCTTCCAGAAAACAAATGTTAATTGGCTTTGTGTTTGTCAGATTTTTGCGTTAGGCACAAATAGAACAGATACTGTCCCTGTCTTCGTAAAATTTACAATCTGGAGGTCAGACACATGTGGTGAGCCAACGTGCTCAATGTGTAAATGTTCTCAGCCTCCTTGGTCTCTCAACTTCTTCCCCCTGTGCCCTGAGAAAGATGGATCTCCCAAACCAGTTCTGAATGTCTGTGATGCAAGATAAGAGAACAGGCAGAAAACCTTTGAAGAGAGAGCCCTAGGGGCAAAATTTATGAAGAAATGCTAAACCAATGCATGGTTGGGGGGAATGAACAAAGAGAAAAGGGAATGCAAGCCTATGAGAAGGGTTGGGAATTGTGACGGGAGCCCCTTTAATAATTTTTTCTTCCAAGAGACCCACGTTAAAGACTGAAGTACATTTAAAAATTTTTGGCTGCCTGAGGGACACTTAATGAAACTCCACATGGAGACTGGACTCAGGCGCCAGGATTTATAAGGCATTTGAACGAACAGACAACAATAGAAGTTGTGGCAAATGCAACTTCTTGAAGAAGATGATGGAGACAGGACTATGGGGCTGGGCTGGGGAGAGTATGTGTATATACAGGGCTGTCAGGGAAGGCCTTTTGATGAGGTCACATGATATTCAGTGTTCATATGACAGGTTCTCTGAATGTCCAGCACTTTTGAACACCCGTTCGATACCTGAGGAGTTTCCTGTGAGAAGACTTGCCCCCTGGGCCCCCTCTGCAGCCCAGGCAGAGGTGACCTAGGCATGGTCACACAGAACTTCAACTTGAAAGATGAAGTCAGAAAGAGTCAACTTTTTTGTTGCAAGAAAAGATTTGCAAGACGAAGAAGGAAACGTGCCAAACTCCGCCTACCCGGTGATGAGTGTGGCGAGCGTCCCAGAGGGAAAGCCCTGAGTTTTGGAGCCTGTGTTCGTAGAAGTTATGTTGGTGTCAGGTGCAGCAGTGGATTTTCGCTAGAGCTGCTAGTGTGTCTGGGTGTTGCACCTGGCTGTGCTGCACCTACATCTGGCTGCTGGTCTTCCTGGACACTCTGTGGGCTACACCATATTGATCAAGTCCCTTTCTCAGCCAGAGTGGATTCTGCTGTCTATAACTAAGAACCTGACCGAGTCAAGCTGAGACCTGAAAGATGAGTCAGCCATGATGAGTCAGCGCAGGTGGGATGAAAATTCTGGGCAGAGGGCACCAAGGAGTGAGAGAGTTGGTTTAAGGAGCCAAGAGGAAGCCTGTGTGGTAAGAGTCACCAGAAGAGGGGAGAATGGCACTTAATGAGACTAGAAGGGGGCGGGCAGAGCCCAGAGTGTAGTGTTAAAGTCATAGTCAGGAGCCTGTGGTTCATGTAAACTGTAATGGAAGTGGAAATCATTTTGGCAGGGGAATACGTGATCTGATTAATGTGTTCTAAAACTGCTCTGTGTGGAACATAGATAAGGGGACAAGAAAGGACATGGGAACAGTATTAAGGTTATGTCATACTGCAATTGTGTTTCTGTGTCTGGGTCCTTACCAAATCATGAACTCCTTGAAGCCAAAAACCAGGCTAATTCAAGTGCATAGAAGGTGCTCATCATATTAAACTGAATAGTGTATATACGATAATGTATATCTTTATAACAAATCTGCTAGGCAGGTATTATGCCCATTTCATAGATGAAAAAACTAGTGATTAGAGAGACCTATGTGCTGCATGCTAGGCAGTGTCCTAAGGGGAAAAAAAGAATTTTACATATTAATTATACATTAACACACTAATCCTCACAGTAATCTTATCAGTTATATGCTATTTTATCCCCATTTTACAGATGAGGCAACTGAGGCACAGAAAGTTTATTTAATAAGCTCTAGGTCACACAGCTAGTAAGTGAAAAAGCCAGGATCTGAATCCAGGCAGTATGGCTTCAGAGTCTCCACTCTTAACCACTATATAAGACTGCCTCATGAAAATGCTGATAAACTCCATACGCTTATATAAAAATAGAAATTTAAATAAGCTAAAATATAATAACAATAACCACTAGATAAAAATTTAACCTATAACTTCCAAACTACTAAAGAAAAAAAAAATCTGGAAAAAGAAACTATCAAACCAAAGACAGAAAAGAGAAGAAAACAACAGGAAGCACAATATATAGAAAAAACAAGTTAGAATTAAATCCAAGCACATACATATGAAAGGCTTAAATTTTACTATTAAAGGAGGAAATATTTCCAATGTGGTGGCACATGCATATGCTTTTTAAACATATATCTACAATAAAACAGAGGGGTGCCTGTGTGGCTCAGTCAGTTAAACGTCTACCTTTGGCTCAGGTCATGACCCCAGGGTCCTGGGATGGAGCCCTGCATCAGGCTCCCTGCTCAGCGGGGAGTCTGCTTCTCCCTCTGCCACTCCCTCTGCTGCTCCGTGCTCTCTCTCTGTCAAATAAATAAAACCTTTAAAAAAAAAAAAAGGAAGAAATTAATGAAGGCATACATTAACAAAAGAGAAAAAACTTCTAGATAAAGGTTATCGATAACAAAATCAATCAAAATTAATAAAAAATCAGAAGGGGGTTCAATAAATCTGATCAAGAAAAAGGACTCCAAAAGAATATGTATGAACAAGAACAATATGAGATTAAAGAAAAAAAAGTTAATATCAGAGTGTAGAGGGCAAGATGGAGTCTCTCACGTCCAGCAGGGGCCTGTGTCAAGCAAGGACGCCAGCATTTAAGGGCACTGCGGCCACGAGATATTATCGCAGAGACCAGCACCAGCTGATGACACCCCAGAACTGATCACAAGCAGAGGCAGAACAGGTCTGCAGGGGCCTAACACAGATTCAATCCCTTTAAAACGGGAGGATTTTTGCAGCAAACTGTCAGATTCTCCAGACACTGACCCCTCTATGTCTGACCACTTAAAAAAGGCCTCCGCCGCTGAAGGCTCTGCCCCAGTGATCTCCGAACAGAGCTGAGACCCTTCACTGCTTGAACATAGTAAGATGCAAGCGCCAAGAGCTGACTGACCTAAACCTGACTGAGGCCTCATCTCAACTGCGCACCCAGACGGACTTTGCATTTGTTTTTTTTAACTTCCTACCCCGTGTTATCTTGTTTGCTGGGTGACCTGTGTTCTGCTTTGCATGCCATGGAAGAAGCCAAGTTAACCACCGGTGAAATGTCATTGAATTTGGAATCCTGAACCTGCTTTATAATTGTTATCCTTGGTTTATGACGGAATCAAGCTGACATTGTGGAAAGACACACTCCCGTGTGTGCCTTCACAGCATGCTTATTACACAGACAATTTAATACCAAAAAATTTGAAAATGTAAATGAAATTGATACTTTTCTAGGAAAAACATATTTATCTCTCAAAAAGGCACCACACTCAGATAGCTCTAAAGATGAGTTTTTCAAACCTAAGGAATAGATCATTTATATG